TTCAAGCAGTGGTTCTCACCCCTGGCTGCACATTAGAATCACCTGAGCAGCTTTTAAAAAATACTGATGCAGGGGCCTGACCTTCAGAGGTTCTATGACCCCTCACAGATTCATAAGCGAAATTGCATATGGGCGTGTGCGCATATGTGTACTTTTCTGGGGACTTGGTTAGGGCCTCAGAAGGCAGTGCCGAAGATGAATGACATAAGCGTGTGGGTATTATGGGAAAGAGCTGTGGTTCTACGCCTGCTTGGCCATCTCACATTATCTATCCATGCAGGTAGGCCTTCTCACCTCTCCAAGCCCTGGTTTCCTCACTGGTCCCACAGGGATCAGTATTCATGCCCGCTTTGTTTCCTTGGGTGGTTGTGAGGATGTAGTGAACTACTAAAGCACATACAAGAAAGGGCTTTGAAAAAGCCCAACCCCCTCTCGACGGGAGAGGGCCTGTTATTACAAGGTTAAGGAGGGTGTGGGTGGGGAGGTAACAGAGGCGGCAGGGAGCAGCACTACACATCGAGAAAAGGCCACACACGTTAACAAAGCAGCTCACAAATGAGAGCAAATTAATACAGGGCCCAGCGAGAACAGAACATTTGCACTGCAGGGGCAAAGCACCCATTGGAGCAGCTAGGCCTTGGCAGGGAGAAGGAAGTAGAATAGCAGAGGGAGGGGAGATAGGGGCCAAGTGAGGGGAGTTTTCAATGCTAGGGAGGCTTGCTCTGGCTAAGAGCAGAAGGGAAGAGATCAACCATGAAGGAGGGAAAGAAAATGGTGGCAGGCAGCGCAGGTGGGCCTGGGGAGCAAACAGGAGTGCCTGACAGCCCTTGTTGAGGACAGGGGGCAGTGAGGGGTACAGAATCAGTGCCCTGTTCAGGTAATAGCAGAAGGGAGTGTCCCTCCAACTTCAACACATTTGGCTTCACAGGGTAGAGGGTCACTAGGGCAGCTGCTACTAACTACAGAGCTAGCGCCCCATCCCCTGCTGCCTTCTTTTTCTTCGTTCTGTGAAAGCACCAGGGCCTCCCTGACTCAGAGGCAGGGAGTGGGGCATACCTCAATTCAGAAAGCCATTGACAGATCTTCACAGAGAAATGGCCTGGGAAGGGGGAGGGGCATTGGACTAGAGTGGAATCCTAGACTAGGACGATATTAAAAATATTATATTGCTGGTATGACTCGGGCATTGACCAGGCAGAATGAACAGCCCCTAGAACTAGAGAAGTGTTCTGGAGGGCCCCTACTGGGCCAGGCATTAACCCTTTAGCTGCTGGATTGGAAGGAGGTGGGGAGAGTTAGAGGACACTTGGGGGGCTTGGGGCAGCAGCTGTTTACGATCACTAAGTCAGGAATGTGTGATGGTGGTACAAGTGTTCACCGGTGGAATGTCAGCCCTGTGAGCCCTGATCCTGGGGCAGCTGGGATCAGTCCTGGAGGGCATAGGGGATTCACAGACAGAGACCTACCTCTGGGAACCTGAGGGGTCCTGTCTGCAAGATGGGGTGGGGGCAGTGAACACATTCTTCCTTTGCTCCCTAGCAAAGATGGGTCAGACACTGGCTACACTGTGGAATAGCAGCACCGGGTTCATGCCCATAGTGCCAACCCTTTGTCCCCCTCTAACTCCCGTGCATACACAGTGCCATGCCCGGTATCCCCAAATGGGGGCCCACTCTGGAGGGAACATCAGTCTATTTCAGTGCCAGATAGCCTACCATCTGAGCCTGTTAGAACAGGAAGGGACCCTGAAAATCAGCTAATCCAGTGCTCTCTTTTGACATATGGGGAAACTGACACCTAGAAAGGGAAAGTATAGGGCCATATACATCTAATTAGTGCCAGAGCCAGGATGAGCAGCAAGATGTCCCTACTCCTAGCCTGGTGTATTTTCTATTGCTTTCTTTGCTGTTATTCCAAGTCTTCATTATAATCGAAGGAAAATGCCAGAATATCCTCAGGGCCAGCCTTGCACATAGGTAAACATGATGTGATCAAATATGTCTCCTCAATTGCCTGTCATTGTGCCCGAAATTTCACCACCAGTGATTCATTCCTTTGGATCTTGAAGCTTTCTGGTCTTGCAGAGGGATATGGATGGGGGATTTATTGACAATCACCCAGAGAAAGGCTTTTGCAAATTGGACTCAGGTTATACAGCTGGGGGAGAGCAGCAGCAGCTGGTCCAGGGCAGAAGATGCAGGCTGAGGTAGGCATGGGAACTCAGGGTGGGACTCTGAATCCAAAGCCCAGGCCACCCTGAGGGGCCAAGGAAGGAGTATTTGATATACCCACACCCAGTACTTCTGTCACGCCCTGGCTTGGGCGCTCAGGAAGCATTTTTCCCCAGGAGACTGCTGTGACCCAGGAGGCCTGAATCACTTCTGTGTGGCCCACGCTGGGGAGAAAGGGCGGGAGAGTGAAAGATAACATCAGGCTGTCTGGAGTGGCCGCGGGGGCACTTTATTAAGAGCAGCCGCCTGGGCGAGATGGATGTGACAAGGGAATATATGAAGACATTGAGAGGTGCCTCCGCCACAAGAGAGGTGGGCTCTGAGACTGCCAAGGGAGGCTGGTGTGGAGTCTGTCTGTTCTGCACCTCCCCCAGGGACCTGCTGGCTGAAGGTGCCCTGGCCCAAGACCGGTCTCCTTTCTGTCGCTGCCCCTAACTTCCATTCTGGTTCAGCTCCAGAGCCATGCAGTGCAGCTCTGGGCTTGGCCGGCTATGGTGTCCAGGCTCCTGAGCCCTTCCTGTTCCGCATCAGTTCTACCATTTTTATATTGAAGGGGCTTCAGGGTGACAATCTGGTGGGAAGGGGGAGAGGCAGATTTACCTGGAAACTGTTTGCCTGGCAAGACCCTGTGTTTATCCTTAGAGTGTCTGTTTTCTTGAGGTAGCAGAGGGTACGGGAGAGTGCTTCTGGAAATTTGAGAATTTGCCTTGAATCTGCGTTTGCCTAACAAGCGTAGTATTATAATTTAGATTGTAGGTCTATTTGGGTGGCTTGCAGGGGTGAGTTGAGCAAGCTGAAGACCCTCCCAGAGGCTCCACTAGTTCCGTTGTAGATCTCAGCTAGCTAGGCTGAACCCAGAATGCCTAGCTTCCAAAAAAATAGAGCATCCACCCTCAGGGCCACCTTCTGCTGTCTGATGTGAGCCCTGTGCTTCCTGAAGGGGTGTCTCTGGAGGCCTCAAGTGGTTTCTACCAGACACTAGGTTATCACTAACCTGGATGTCATGGGCACTGCTGAGAGAAGACGATGTTTCACAGAGTAGAGACTCCTGCCCAGGTGCAGGATCAGTGATTGGGGAAAGATGGAATTCAGTGCAATCAATTTGGGAGAGTCAGCCAGGATTTCTGTTAAGCTTTACTTCCCAGCAGCCCCCTCCCACCTTGGAGACAGACTAATCCCTAACATTTGTCTAGTGGCTTTATACTTTTCAAAGCTCCTTCACATCTATTATCTCCATTGAGCCTCGCACACACCCCCGTGAAGTAGGACAGGAAGGTGTTATTATCCCTGTTTGACCAAGAGGAAAACCGAGATCCCAAAAGGATACATGACTCATCCAGGGTCACGTAGCTATGTAGTCAAAGAACTAGGACTTAAAATGTGTTCTCTAACTTCCAGCCCTGTGTGCTTTCCACCTCCTGTGGAGACTCCCTCACAGAACCATGGAGGTGCCCAGCACCTAGCACGGCGCCTGACACAAAGGCGAAGCTAACAAATATTTGCTAAATGAATGACTGAATGGATAAGCAGGGGCAAGGCAGGGAGAAATACCAGTTCTAAAACTGCCATTTCTTTTTGTGATCAAGGGAGAAGGGCAGGAATACTGTGTTATTTCATCATTTTGACCAGGAAGGAAGAAGTAAGAGATCTTTCCCATTTCACAGATGTCATTGCCAAAGTAGGGGAGATTCACGTAACTCCCACAGAGAAGCCACAGGGCTTAACCTCCCAACAAGGCTGCTGTCCACTCATCCTTTAAAGAGGAACGGGTGGTGTGGGCCCTCACTCCAGTACCAGGAAGGAGTCAGAATCAGTCCGTGGGAAGAGCACCCACCCCACGCTGTCCCTGCAAGCCCCTTCTCTCCCCATGTCCCCACCAGTGGCTCCCCGAGGTTCTGCTGTGGGATGGGTGTCTGAGAACACTGGCTGCCCGCTCCTTTAGAGCTTCTGCACCCCCATCTTTAACCCTTCTAGCATAACCCAGACCTCACAGGCTCAGTGCCTGTCTCCTGGATCTCACCTGGGCCAAGGCTATCTCCTATTGCACTTTCTGTCTCCTGCAAGGCCTGGCACAGAGTAGATGAGGTAAAGAGGGGTGGCCACTCCCTGGCACTAGGCACTGCAGTCAGGATCCTTCCTCCCAGGGCCCCCACCTCCACCTTCACAAGCAGGCTGACCTGGAGTTGCCACTTGTCCCTAGTCCTGTCAGAAAAATGGGGAAAGAGGAGGTGGAGACACGGGTATTCAAATGTTGCTTTGCAGTGGCACAGAGTGGCATGTGGGGCAAGCAGTGGCGAATTTGAGATCCCTCTGGTTTCGAATCTTGGCCCCACCACTTATTACGAGCTCGTGTATCTGAGGCTTTTTGCTTTGCTCCCCTGAGCCTCGGTTTTGTTTTCTGTACAATGAGGAGGATGCTGGAATGAAATGGTTGTAAAGCACAGTGCGCGGCACTTAGTCAGTGCGCACCCAGGGGCAGCTGGATTATCCACACGTCTCTGTACTTCGAGCCTCCCCTCCCCGGCTCCCCCGCGGGCCAGTCTAGTGAGGGGGGTGCTCCGCCGCGGCGGACTGCGGGCGGGCGCGAAGCGGCAGACGCCGTGTTTACCAGCTGCCTTGCTAGTTCGCCACCTCAGCCGCGGCTCTGGGGCCGAGCCAGTTGCCTCCTTCTTTAAGATTCTGGTCACAGCAGGGGCTGGGTTTCTAAGGCAGGCGTGATCTTTCTCTTTCTACAGACGCCGCTGCCGCTACCGTCGGCGCTGCGCACAGCCAGGGGCAGCGCGAGGGGCCACGGCCAGAGGGTTCCCGGGCCGGGCAGCCGCCCAGCCCCGGCCCGGAGAGGGCCCCGACAGTAAGTACCGTGCTCCGGGCAGCCGGGTTGGGGCTTGCCTGGGAAAGGGCCAGAGAGCGGGGCGTTTGGCCGTTGAGGCTGGGGTCAGCGGGCTTGGGGGGTCGGCAGCCGAGTGCTAGGGTCCTCGCCGGCCCCTCAAAGTGACTCCGGGCGGCGCTGGCACAGCCCCCGGTCCTGGGTGCGCGCCGGCTCAGCGCCCGCAGTCGTTGGACGGAGTTGGTGCGTCGGGAGCCACCATCCGTCCACCCCCACCCCCCACCCCGAGCCCCCAGGGAGCCGTTCGGGTCATGAGGCCGCCCACGGGGCCCTTCGCAGCATCGTCCGCGAGGAAATTGGAAGACAAGATGCGCGGGGATGAGGTTTTGGACGCCCATGGAAAAGTGACGGCTGGAGCGGAAAGTTTTTGCTGGAGGTGGGGAGTGCGAGGGGGGAGGGGGAGAGAAGGAGCTAGGAGAGGGAGAAGCCCAGAGAGCAGCCGCCCGCAAGGGTTGCGGGGAGGCAGGGGCGAGCGCTCCAGGGGATCCGGCCTCGCCCTCCCCTCCAGCTGCCCGGGGCTCCTGCAGCCCCGAAGCTCCACCCCCTGGCAGGGAGCCCCCTGTCGGAAGTGGGGGGGAGTGCTTCTAGGCGCCCTGCCCCCAGCGCCTTGGCTTCCCCAGGGGCGGGGCACCCTGGCTGGCCTGCCCTTGCGTGGCTTCAGCGTTCACAGAGCATTGCGGGGCTGAGGAACAAGAAACCTTGGCAGGTGGGAATATGCAGGTACATACCTGTCACTTTCTTTAGCTGTGTAAAATTCAGGGGGGCAGGCGGTCTGAGATCACAAAGCGGAGTTTATCCTAAGTCACTTAGTCCCCTTCTTAGAGAAGACCTAGATCTCCCTTCTGCTCCTCTGCCCCCAGTCCCTCATCTGTACCGAGAGTACTGATGATCACAGTAGCTACTATTCCTACGTGCCAAGCATTGTGCTAAGCTCTTTATGTAGTAATAAGAATTCGTGTGCAATAAGAACTGTAGCTGGCATTCACTCGGTGCTTTCTGTGTGCCAGGCATGTGTTATTATATTTAATCTTTGCAACAACCCTGTGAGGTAGAGCCTGATATTATCCCCATTTTACAGATGAGGAAATTCAGGTGGTGGAAATTGAGAGGTGGACAAGCCCAAGGTCCCACAACTAATGAGAAGCAGAGCTGGGATTCCCACCAGTCTTACTTCAGCACCCCCACGTTAACCACTAGAAATATGGTGAGAAGTTGGCTTTAATGAAGTAGTAAAATAGAGCTTGTTTTCCCCACAGCAAAACATATGTATTCTGTAGATCTGAAATCAGTGCCCAAGGTCCAAAGAGATTTGAACCAATTTTCAAATCACCCCTATTACACTCTGTGGAGAAAGGCAAACCGAGTGGGCTATAACAGGACAGCAGATCTTATTAGGAGGTGCCTAAACATAACAATGATAATAATTGCTAATAGCCATTATTGATTGAGCACTTACTATATATATTTAATCTTCATGTCAGTATTTTGAGGTAGGTGCTATTGTGAGCCCCATTTTATAGGTGAGGAAACTGAGGCTCAAGAGGTTAAGTAACTTACCTCACAGTTGGGGTTCCAGCCCAGATCCACTGCCTCTGAAGCCCAGGTTGCAACCAAGCTGTGGCAGATTTGTGCAAGAGGCAGAGGTTCCCCCATAGCCTTCTTCACCTGGGCTCCTAGAGCTGTCCTCTCCCCAGCCAGTTGCCCAAAGCTCTGCACTGTTCCCTCCTTTCCGAGCCTCCGTTTGCGTTAAAGAAGGGATTGTACAGGTTGGCAGGGAAAGGGCTTCCTAGAGAACATGGAGCATTCTGCATGGATTTGGGTTTTGTTGTTGTACTAAGTGCCGTGCCCATAACATCAATAAGTTGTTCTGCTTTATAAGTTTTATTAATTAGACAAGTGTCTGGTCTGCTGGCTTGGAGTTGTTAATCCGACATTATGGTTCTATCTGAGTACCTTTGTTAGGAATTATTTTCTAAAAAGTTTTTAGAGCCTTACTTGCGATGTTAAAGCCATCTTCTGACCTCCTGGAGAGGGGGAAGGGGCTTGTTTCTTGGCTAGGACTTCGGTAGCAGGAACTGCAGCTGCTACTATTGATGTGTCTATTGATGTTCATCCCTCCTTCGCCCAGGATGGCCCCCGTGAGCTGAACAGCAGGTCCCGAGGGGCGTCTTCCTGAGTCACATCTGGCCCTGCAGTGGGGTTGTTTGTAATTTCACACCTTTGGCCCTGGCCCATTAATTAGAGCTGGCTCCCCTGGACGCTCTTCAATGTGGGCATAACGGGGGCATTTGAACTTCGTGGCCTTGGTCTCCATTACTATGGCTGGATCTCAATGCAACTACTGGCAGTCTTCCCTTCCCACCTCCTTCTGTGATGTGAGGGTGGCCTTCCAGGTATAGCTTTTGGGTGGTGCATAGGATGTATGGCTGGTAACCCTAGTGCTAGGCTTATGTCCCTGGTTCTCTCTGTGGCCTCTTCTGAACCACTGCATCGTCCCACAAGGCCACACAAAAGGGGCCAGTGGCTAACACAAGTCCTCTGCCCTCATTCCTGCAACGAGAAATGAAAGCTTCCCTTCAGTTTCACCTGAATTTGTTCTATGATTTCTGTTTTTAATTGAAGTGGCTTAAATACCTAGAGGTTTCCCTCTTTACTGAATCTTCCTTATTCGTTTGTGTCATGTTTGACATTCCTTTCCTGGAATGCCCTTCTCTGCCTTGTCCATCTGCTGGACTTTTATTCACCTTCACCACTCAGCTCGGGGGTCTGCTGGGAGTCATGGGAGGGTGGGAAACACGCCCTCCTCTGTGCTCCCATAGCATCTTTTGCTGCCCTCTATGGTACCAGGTGACACATGGTTTTATATCTGTTTACATACCTGCCCCCACCTCAGGCTGCAACCTCCCTGAAGGGAGAGACTGGGTCTATTTTACCTCTATGTCTCCAGTACCCTGCACCATGCCTGGCTCACAGGAGGTGCTCAGTAAATTTTTGTTGCATATATGAATGAATGCGTGAATGAATACTATCTAAATGCTGGTGGAGGGAGCCTATGACTCACAGCAAGGGACTCTGCTATTGTTCCCCTTACAAGAAAGGAGATGGGAATAGAGCTTGCATTATTCTGTAACAGAGGCTCAGCTCTGTGGATTTTAATCACTGAAAAATACAAATATACTGTAATGCCAAAACCTGACTGCTTGGGGAAGGGCTTTTCTACTTAATAGAATGTTCTGGGTAACTGAAGGTCAGGGGAAAAAAAATCATTTTTCCTCACCCATTTTGGTTCTTTCTAAAATTTCTGGGTCTGCTTTTCTACCTTAGTGAGTCAAGTCTGGGGTCCATCGTCAAATCTGTGTTGCTGAGTAGGGAGCTTGTGGGTTCTCAGGACCCCCTAGGATTCTGTCTCCCTTGAGCCTGGTTGCAGAGTAGGGTGCAATCTGTTTACCACCCCCACCCAAAGACAGGCCCACAGGCCCCTTTGAGGTTTGTAATTTTACTGCCACTCACCTGTAGGAAACAGACAGGGGGGTCCCAACCCACAACATGGGGGAGGTGCAGAGTGTTTTGGTGCTAACTCATGCCCTCTGAGGCAGTAGTTCAGTACTTGCTCTTGCCCTTGGCTTTTATTCTTAAGTGGAGGCTTCACCAACCTTATTCTCTCTTTTTGATCCCATTGGATCTTCACTTTTCTTTAGGAAAGACCTTGTATTCCTTCCTCTGTCTTAGCAGGAAGATGCAGTTAGGCAGAATGAAAGGTGTCTCATTGTCCTGAGGCTGTAGTTGGCATTTCTGGACACCTCCAGACAGTGACGTGAGTTTACTAGGCCTCTGCTCACATAGCCTCTTTTGTCAAGTTGCTTCTTGGCCTGATTTCTTCCCTGCCCCCACCCGGCACTCCTAGGTGGACAGCTTGGAGATGGTACACGGAAGGGAAGCTGGGGGTTGCTCCTGTTTGCTCCCTCACAGGAGGTCAGCCTGGTACCTGCTGGGCATGGTGCCTGGGCTTCAGATACTACCTGCATCATCTCAGTCAAGGAGGGGGCAGATGGGCAACTAGGTAAAGCAGCAGGATAGATATGCCTTTCTCTGTCCAGCTATGACTAGACTGGCTTGCCTGTCTCCTCGCAAGCTGCCCGAGGGGGCCCTGGGGAGAGGACCTTATACCCTAGCAGGGCCAGGCATGAGAAAGGGAGTGAGAAAAAGGTTTACTCACTGTCTCCCTGGGTGGGCTCGCTAGCTAACCTCTTCCCAGCACCCCCTTCCCACTCAGGCTGTCATCTTCATGCCTCCTGCCACAGACCCCCTGCTCCCTTCTGTCTCTGGGCCTGTTTTCAGTGTCCTCCCTCTCTACTTGCCCAGATATGGCCCCTCTTGTAGTACCCAGCTGCAGTCGTCCTCTAGAAAGCCTTTCCCTGCTGCTTCTGGAAATCATCAGAGGGTGGACAAGGGTGAAGTAAATAACTTCCAAGGTCCCTGCCAACTCTGAGATTCTCCGGCTGTTTGACCAGAGTCAGGGGTTGCGGGCATCCCAGGCTGGTGGCCCAGGCCATTGATGCCTGGCAGCCTCACAGAGAGGAGGGAAACGGCACAGTCATCCAGCTGAGTAGGACCTCATTTGGCTCCAGGAGGCTTTGCCCAGAGCCCTGTGTAGCAGGTGCCTGCCAAGCAGCCCCCAGAGGGGTGCTATTTGAGCCCTTGGTCTTTGGCTGTGGGAGGCAGCTACTGGTTGGGATGTTCCCAGCAGCTCCTGCCCACACCTGCTCCCCCTCTCCGGCCTCCAAGCCTTGTTTACAGTTCAGCCCTTGGCAGACTAGAGGCTAGGATCCAAGAGGAGAGAGAGATCTGGGTAGCCAAGGACCCTCTCCTGGCTTAGCACTCTGTGTCAGAGCTCTGCAGCCCAGCCTGGCCTTGGAGAGATGTGTTCACTGAGGGGAAGAATTCAAGCCTGCTGCTTCCTTCCC